AGGGATAGTGCCCAAGCCCAGAGTTCAAGCCCTATGACTAACCAAAAAAAAAAGATAAATAGGAAGTATAACGTTGGTAATATATTCAAAGAGCTTTAAAAAACAATTGAGTAGTACTATAATTTAAAAATAGAAATAAAAACTAAGGACTGGAGATAGATGAAGCTTGGCAGTAAAATGCTTGCATAACATGGGAAAAGCTCTGGGTCTGATCCCCAGCACTAGGAAGAAAAACCTGACTTGGAATAGACATTGTTGAGCTAGCGCCTCTCGGAGGTAGGCCTGGGAACCTGCATCATGCACCCTTCTCTTCTCTGTTTAGGCTTCTGTAGATGATTCTAATGCACACTGAAGTGTAAGAATTATGTCTGAGGGTTGAGAAGGTGGCTCAGTGGTAGAGTGCTTGCCTTGCATGTATGAGGCCCTGGGTTCAATTCCTCAGCACCACATAAACAGAAAAATCTGGAAGTGGTGCTATGGTTCAAGTGGTAGAGTGCTAGCCTTGAGCTGAAGAGTTCAGGGACAGTGCCCAGGCCAAGACCCATGTCACCTCATGACCAACAGGAAAAAAAAATTATGTCTGAGAAGTGGAGGCATAGCTCAAGTGGCTTTGAGTGAAAAATCCAAGGATGAGCACAAGGCCCTGAGTTCAAGTTCCAGTACAGCCACAAGAATTATGTTTGCAAGCCAGGTCTCCTTGGTTCATGTGTGTAATCCTAGCTATTCTGGAGTATTCTGGAGGCTAAGATTTGAGGATCTCAGTTAGAAACTGGCTTGAGCAGATAAGTCTGAGAGACTTATTTTTTTTTCCAGTACTTGACTTGAACTCAGGGCCTTTTTTTTTTTTTTTTTTTTTTTGCTTAAGGCTAGCCCTACCACTTGAGCCACAGTGCCACTTCTGGCCTTTTCTGTTTTTATGTGGTACTGAGAAATCAAACCCAGGGCTTCATGCATGCTAGGCAAGCACTCTACCAGTAAGCCACATTCCCAGCCTTGAGGACTATTTCTAATAATCAGAATGAATCACACATCCAGAAGTGGCTCACGTGATAGAGCAGAAATCTTGACTGAAGAGCCAAGGGGAGCATGAGGCCCCAAATTCAAACACACACAGAAATAAATAAAAGAATTATGGCTGGAGAGCGTGCAGCCCACAAGGAGGCCAAGAGGATCCGCTTTTGAGTCTCCTTGTCTATTCGGTATATATTTCATAAGGATATGCAGTATGAACATAGTAGTCCTTGGAGATCATCATGTGAATGTACACGTATTAGGAGGCGTGCCAGAGTTAAAAATTTTAGTGCAACTACTATGCATTCAGTCCTGAGCGTAGGCCTGAGAAGCAGGAAGCAGAGCCCACAGAAGTGTGGGCTCTCCCATGGTGCATGGTGCTCTACCTTGTGCAATGCCAGGCTCACAGTGCTCAATGAGGGGTTGGTGAGTTGGAGAGAACCTGGGGCACTAGACGATGTGATGGTCCCAAGTTCAGGAGCCTCGGCTTGAACTTACATGATACCCTGGGGCCAGCTCTAGGCTCAGCATCCACAGGCTCAAGAAAGTAAGAAACTGCAAGAAACTGGGCCCTGCTCAAAAGATTTCATCAACCTGACCAAGAAAGGACTTTAAGAGTTGAACGTAGATTGGTGGGAGACATGGAGAGAGGAAGCGGAGTGGGAGGGAGGAGCAGAGACTGAGGGAGAGAAGAAGGGAGAGTGGAAAAGAGAAAGAGGAAAACAGCCAGAAGGAAGATGGAATTCAGAGCTGCCCTTGAAGGGATCCCAGTTCCTTCTTAGGTGCCTGTCTGGATGTTTCCTGTCCTATGAATTGGCATGTTGTAAGTACCATGCACACATGTGCGCATGCGCGTGCACACACACACACACACACGCACGCATGCATGCATGCTCTGGCACCTGCTTCCTGGGTCCTAACTTCCCAATCTGATGGGTGCTGCCGAGAGGAGGTGAGCGGTCCTGGAGCACCACTGTGTGGGTATCATCACTTCGAAAGCCACTCAAACTGACTTCATTGAGCTCCCACCTCCTCGTAGCTTCTTTCTCCATCTTCCCTTCCAGGATGGGCCTGGGCTATCTCCCTGTTCTTTGGCAGCTGCTTTGGTAGAAAATGTCTTGAAGGCCCAGGGCTCTGAGGATGCTGGTGTTTTTGATCCTTTGGGCTATATCTAACTACAGTCCTAAACAGAAGGGTTTCTGGGACACGGGACCACACTTAGCTTCGCGGGGTCCCATGCCTTAGTTGTCTGCCTGGCCTCAGACCTGTACCCAGTTGACCCTTAACATCCTCTCCCCCTAGGTAATAGCTCCTCAAAAGGACCTGGGTGCTGGGTGCAGTGGCTCATGCCTATCATTCTAGCTACTCAGGAGGCTGAGATCTGAGGTTGCAATTCAAAGCCATTCTGGTGAGACAAATCTGTGAGACTCTTATCTAATTAATCAGTAAAAAGCCAGAAATGGAGGTGCAGCCCAAGTGGTAGAGCCCCAGCTATAAGCCAAGCAGCAGTGTGAGGCCCTGAGTTCAAGCTCCAGTACTGGCAAAACAACAACAACAACAATATCACACGCACACAAGCACACACAACACACACACACAAACATACAAGCACACACAACCAAGGACCAGAGGGAAGCTAAGAGGAATGTAGGATATGACACTAAGGAGGTCTCCATTCAAGCTTGTGTCCATGCAGGGTGGCACCTGCGTGGCCCTGGGAGAGGCCCCTTCAGTTTACTACAAAGTGGTCGTGGTGGTTTTCTGTGTCAGCCAAGCTTAGCCCGGTCTGCTCCCATGACCTCATCAAGCTGCTCACGTCAAAGTTTCAGTCCTGCCCTCCTGCCTTTGTTCTTCACACCTCTCACCTTCCTTTGGGCCTCCTGGGGCCAGACTTTCCTGAGCTGTGTCTAGACTCAGGTGAACCTCCATCTCTGGACCTCACTTCCTTCTTTTTTGACCTTCATCTCTTGTCACTTTTCCCATTGCCCAGGTTTAGGCTATGGGAGAGGGGGGCCTCACATCTACCCCCTCTCCCAGGCCCCAGATCCTCCTCCTCCCGGGAGGAGGGAGAGATAGGACTGCTTTCAGAAGTGCCTTCAGCCTCCTCCCAGCCACTGCCTGCAAATCTCAGCAAGGAGCTCATACTTCACACACACTCAAAGGGAATTAGTTTCCTCTATACAGAGCCCTTGTATTTATCCTCACTCGTAAAAGGCCTTATCCCAACAGTCGTTCCTGGTGACTTCATTCCCACAGACTTAAGGTGATAGAACACTATGTGAGCGTGCTTGGATAGACATGTGTGCAAACCACATAGTAGGTACACTTGTAGAATGTTGAGGTGTGTGTGCAAATGGGGGTGTTGCCATAGAGATTTCTGATGCATGAGTCACTCCAGCCTTCAGTAGAGACTGTCCCGAAATTAGACAGCAGTTCCCAACTATTCTGCAGCTGGCCAGCATGGGATCCTGGACAGAAGCTGTCAGCCTTGGGTTGGAGGCCGTTTTTCCCTGTAGACTCCAGAGTACCACCTGTCACAGATATTCTTAGCTTGTTTGTCTGGGGTCTCTGGCATTTAAGGATGTGATGGGGATGGCACAGGAGAGGACTGAAGCGTGATTCAGAGGGCTCTATTCTCTGCGGCTGGCAGGCAGGAAGATCCATCCATTCTACAAATAGCTATGGAAAATCTGTCATAGGCCTTTCCCAGGGCTAGGGATATTATGGCAAATGTAACTGGCCTGTCATCTCCCCTCTTCAAGTTTATGCTGTGGTGTGGGAGACAGAGCCTAACAAGTGGCAAAGGCTACTTCTACACAAATGTGCGCAAAAACGATGAAGAAACGCGAATGATCACATTGAAGTGCCTGAGACCTAGCGAGGTGCGCATCCCTTTGTTAGGACGGTCAGGGAAGATCAGAATCTGAACTGGGTCTGACTGATGAGGAGCCATTACAAGGAGACTTGGGGTGAAGAGCCTACTAGAATAGGGATGAGATGCCCATTGTCTGTCCATGTCTTCATAGACTGATCCAGAGTCTATGAAGGTCAGCTCTGGGAACCAGAGGTGATCTGTAGGAGCAGAAAGGCTGGTATGGTATTTGTCCTCTGGCTGGTTGAGAGAACCAGTCTTAGGGTTCTGGTCTTATACATCCAAAGACCCCCTGCTATCAGGTATGGGTCTGCCTGGGGGTCCTTTCTGAGTCCGTGCCCAGTGCCTCTTTAGCCGAGAGCTGGGGGTGGGGGTGGGGGGGTGTCTCTATCTCGGTTTCTTTGTTAACCACCCACTCTGTAGCGTTCTCCCCGGGCCAGGTACCTGGTGCTAGGAAAGCTCCACGGACTTTTAGTTCTGTGGTTGAACGGAACAAAGCCTAACCTGTGGAACCCCAACCTGCGCCTCGTCCCTCCGGGCCCCCCCACCCCCCCGCGGCCGCCAGGACCGCCGCGCGCTCCTGGGCCACATCTGACACGCGCGCGCGTGTCACCAAGACGCTCATTCAGCGGCGCTGTTGTCACCATAACAACCGGGGCCAGGGAGTCCTGGCGACCGCCGGGGCGGGGGCGCGGGCGGCGCGGGCGGACGCGGGAGCGCGGCGGCCGGGGGAGACCACCACCTCGGGAGCGCCGCGCACGCCCCGCGCCCCGCTCCAAGCGCACCTGCCGGCAGGAGGGCGCCACGCACATCGCTGCCGCGACTGTCCCCGCGGGCGGGGACCGAGCAGCTCGCTGAGCCGCCGAGCGGGCCGAGCCGGCGGAGCCGCTGAACGCACGCGCCGAGTCTCGACTCTATGGCCCGGGGGGAACGCGCTGGAGCCGCCGCGCCGTCCGTCACCAGCACGAACCCCAGCGCCAGCGGGAGGAAGCGGGGAGCCCGGGGCGCCGCCAGCCCGCGGCCCCCGCCCCCGCCGCGGGGCATGGGAGCCCGGTAGCCGGTCCATGCCAGGACACCACGCCGGGCAGGACCCGCCGAGCACCGCGAAGCCCCGCGAGCCGGAGGAGACGCGCGGCCCGCTCGCCCCCGACCGCAGCCCCGCCAGGGCCCTCCCCCGGCGGCGCGCGCCCGGGCGCGCATTCACTTAAACACCTTTCCTGGGCTTCTGCCGGGCCTCGCCTGCCCCGCGCCGCGGCTGAACCCCGGAGGCGCGATCATGGGGAACAACTTCTCCAGCATCCCTTCTCTGCCTCGAGGAAATCCCAGCCGGGCGCCCCGGGCTCACTCTCAGAACCTCAAAGGTAGGCTTGGCTGGCCGGGCGCAGCTGGAGGACGACGCGGGTGGGGGGCGCAGCTGGAGGGGTAAGGAAAGGTGGCGAGGTGTGGGGAGGACCCTAGGTGCCACTTGTTGGGTGCATGGGAGTCGGGAGAGGCACACCTGGCGGTGGAGGTGGGCTGCAGTGGGAGCTGCGGGTGGAGATGGCCAAGATCTGGGGGGGTCTGCGCAGTTTCCCCCCGGCTAGCACGGAGAACGTCACTGGAGAGTCCCCTAGACCGTGGTGGCCAAGGCAGCAGGAGGAGGGGAGGAAAGAGGGGGCATTTCGAGTGGATGGTGGTGTGGAAAGGGAAGCCCAGGTCCTCCCGCTGAGCCTCTTGAAGGAGTCATTTCATCTGTTCAGGGCGGGAGAGACAGGCCTCGAGCACTAGTTGCATTTCTAATAGAAGGCTTTCCAGCACCCAGGATGAAGGGCGAGGAAGCTGGGAGCTTGCTCTTGGGGAGGGGGGGGTGGCGCGGAGGGGGTGGGCTGCTGCTGACTTTTTGCATCCACGGAGTCAGCTAGGTTTTGTAGTTCACCAAAGACCAGGTGCCCAGTCAGAACTGTAGGACAGAGAAGGGCTGGCAGTCTCGAAAAAGACGTTTCTCATCTTCCAGGAAGGTCTTTGCTCACTGTGTACCTGAATCCACCTAGCACCTTCTGAGGAGCCCTAGGCCTAAACCTCTGCCTTGCCACTTCTAAGGATGTCTGGGACCTTTGCTATACACTGCTGGGTTACCCCCAGGCCCGGGACCCAGATAATTTGCTTTAAGAAGCTGAGTTTATGTGTTATCCTTAGGACTAGCTGCATTTATCCTGGAGACTTGCTGATGGCAAAAAAAAAAAAAAAAAAGCCCTTGGGCTTTCACAGAAGAAGAATCACTTCCTCTGTCCCGCAGATAATGAAGAAGAGAGTAGAGTGCTTTGACACAAAGTACTGAAGTTTACTAAGAACTTTTACACGCACTTTCAGGACTTGGGGGGTGGTAAGGGTTGCATCAGCAGAGTCCATTTTACAGCTGAGGAAAACGAAGGATTAGTTCAGATTCCAAAACCAGAGAGAGACATGCAGAGCTGGGCATGAGTACTTATGTTCAGACTTGGAATTCTGTCTCACTTCTTGCTGGGTGGTTAACCTCCAAGACTGAGGGGAGAGGAGAACACTGTCCAACATTCTAACCCCGGGCCCCAGAACTTGGCTAAACGCAAACCAAATGGTCTGGTGTGTGTGTGTGTGTGTGTGTGTGTGTGTGTGTGTGTGTGTGTGTGTGTGTGTGTGTGTGTGTGTGTGTGACAGAGAGAGAGAGAGAGAGAGAGAGCTGTGGGGCTTGAACTCGGCCTGGGTATCCCTGAGCCTCTTCGTGCTCAAGGCTAGCACTGTACCCCTTAAGCCACAGCACCATTCCTGATTTTTAAGTGTTTAATTAGAGGTGAGAGTCTCAAGGGGAAGGGCTGGGAATGTGGCTTAGTGGTAGACTGCTTGCCTAGCATGCATAAAGCCCTAGGTTCAATTCCTCAGAAAAAAGCCAGAAGTGGCACTGTGACTCAAGTAGTAGAGTGCTAGCCTTTAGCAAAAAGAGCTCAGGACAGTGCCTAGGCCCTGAGTTCAAGCCCTAGGACTGGCAAAAAAAAAAAAAAAAAAATCTCATGGGGACTTTTCTGCCCAGGTAGGCTTTGAACTGTGATCTTCAGATCTCAGCCTCCCAAGTAGCTAGGATTACAGGTGTGAGCCACCAGCGCCTAGCTGGTCTTTTGTGTTTTTCTTGCCATTCAGATCCTTTTATATTATATCCATTGACCATGTAGTTCCACTTAGAGGAGTCTACTGTAAGGAAGCAGGATAAAGGTAAATACAGTACTACATTATGATGTCCATGGCAGTGTTCTTTATACTAGGGATCATGGTCAGAAATCATGGTAAGTCCTCTTGATGATGGGGTATACGCAGTCATTAAAAGTATATATGCTGGGTGCTAGTGGCTCACGCCTGTAATCCTAGATATTCAGGCTGAGATCTGAGGATCGCAGTTGAAGCCAGACTGGACAGAAAAGTCCCTGGGAGACTCTTATTTTCAAAAAAACCACTCAAAACAGAGAAGTAGTGCTGCGGCTCAAGTGATAGAGTGCTAGCCTTGAACACAAAGAGGCTCAGAGACAGTGCCCAGGCCCTGATTTCAAGCCCCACAACCGACACACACACACAAAATGGATGTCATATATAATATTTTTTGAGACAAAGATCTCATTATGTAGCCCAGGCTGGCCCCAAACTCATCATCCTCCTGCCTCGATGTCTTGAGTGCTGAGATGCAGGTGTGAGCCGCCATGCCTGGCTAAAATTATATTTTCCAAGATTATGTGATGGCTTGGGAAAATGCTCACTGCATAAAAGCCAGGGTACAAAATTATAGAATGTGTGAGCCCAATTTTGTTTAAAAAAGAAATTACGTGAATAGAAAGGGAAAACAACACAAAATAAAAGCCCATAGAGAAGTTTCTAAGAGAGTCAGCGCTTTCTTCTGAGCAATGGGATCATGAGATTTCATCTTCCTCTCTTCCTTCCTTCCTTCCTTCTTTCCTTCCTTCCTTCCTTCATTTTGTTCACACTTTCTCTTTTCTAAAATGTCTGTGACAAACAGCATTAATTTTTATAATGAGAACAGGGTGACAGTGTTAGCATGGGTAGAGAGTTTTTAGACATTGGTTGGAGGAACGAATAGACATTGTTCAACCAGCTTCGTCCTGTACAAGTGAGAAGAATGAGGAGAAAGACAGGAATTTTTCCAAATTACTTAGTGGATCAGAAGACTGGCAAATTCAGGCTCGGTCCTCAAGTGCAGGGTTTTGCTGGGGGGCTAGTAAGTTGACTCGTTTTGGGTTTTTTTTGGCAGTAATAGGGTTTGAACTTGGGGCCTCCTGCTTGCTAGGCTAGCTCTCTACCACTTCCAGGGTTGGGTTTTACTTCCTCCCCTGGCATGCCTAGATTGTGATCTGCCTACTTTAGGCTTCTAGCAGTACTGAGAAGAGAGGTCTATGGAGACCCTGTGGAGATGGTGTCTCACAGACTTTTCTTCCCAGTCTGGCCTGGAACCTCAATCTTCCCAATCTTAGACTCTGACAGTGGATTAAATAAGCATGCTCCGGGCTGGGAAGGCGGCTCAGTGGTAGAGTACCTGCCTTGCATGCATGAGGCCCTGGGTTCGATTCCTCAGCACCACATAAGCAGAAAAAGCCAGAAGCGGCGCTGTGGCTCAAATGGTAGATCGCTAGCCTTGAGCTGAAGAGCTGAGGGACAACACCCAGGCCCAGTGTTCAGGCCCCATGACCAGCAAAAAAAAAAAGAAAAAGAAAAAAAAATAAGCATGCCCCGCTATGAATTGAGAAGAGATTCTTGTGAGCTTTTCTTTCTGGGAAGACCTCAACCTCCATCCTTACAATTTCAGCCTCCTAAGTAGCTAGGCATGAGCCACTGCCATCTGGCTTTGACTTGGTTGGTTCATACAGACGCTCCTTCTAAGTTGTGTACATCATTCCTTGACTCTGGAAGCTTCAAGGAGGCCATAGGAATTGGAGTTGTGGGGATCTGTGGTTTCTGTAGTTACAGTGTTTGAAAGGATTTGGAGGGAGCAAGAGATAGTGTTCCATCTTCTACACATCAACTGGAGGAAGCCATGGGGATTTTGATCCTGTTCCTTCCAATACTGAAATGGAAGCTAGAATGCACACAAGAAGAAACTAGTGTGGCGGTATATACTTGTAGTCCCAGCACTTGGGAGGTGGAGACAGGAAGATCTCAAGTTAACAGCCAGTCTGGGCTACATAATGAGATCCTACCTCCAATAAATAAGTAAATAATAAGTAAGTAAATAAACTGTAGAAGGGAGAGTGATAGTGGGAATGAGATTGATTGGGATATATTGTAAACCTGTATGGGAATTTCACAATGAAATCCTTCCCTGTATAACTAATATATGCTAATAAACAAAGTAAAATAAAATAAAGATTTTAAAAATGTGCTCATGAAGACCACCCATTGGTGTCCTGATCCTTCCATCCATCCATCACCTTTATCTTTTGTCACTCATCACCTTTGTCATTGCTTAGTGTTTGTTCCAAATTCCCTTCTACCTGTCTAGATCAGGGGTCAGGCAGAATTCCACTGGAACTGTGATGGTGTTCCTAGGGCCAATGTGGTGCCAATTGCCCACCCAGCCTTCTGCTGGGATTGTTTCTGTGGCTGCACTCACCCAGAGTCAGGTCTGATCTTAGCTGGGCCCATCAAGAAACCTGCTGGGCATGGAACAACCAGATCTGTTTTTCCTCTTTTTCTATATTTGCAATCGCTATTGATTTCTTACCACTTTAATTAAGACAGCTGGAGGTATAATATGGAGCCTGAGGCTGACTGGAGACCATAGTTTGGTCCCGCTGTCAAGTTGATGGGAGATGGAACTTGACCTTCACCTATCAGCAGTAGAAGGTCCTCTTCCTACAGGCATGCTGCTGGTGATCCCCACTGGGTCTGAAGCTCATGTCTCTCTGAGTACATGTGTGCTGAGGGGAGCCCATGTGCAGTTCTGGATTTAGGACCACAGGCAGGGCCTGAGGCCTTGCTGTGTATTGGGCTCAGAAGTGATGGCTTTTGACATTTCTGGGCTTTCTAGGGCTGAAGATCTTGGAAAGACAGGGCCGAGGGAGAAAATGGAAAACACAGGCTTGCATGGTTGGACTGGTGACACCTCTGCTTTGGGGGCTGCAGTCAAGCAGAGGTTGTTGGGCCAGCACCGGGCTGGCCACCAAGGGAGGGACAGGAACTGGATGGGGAGGGTCATAGCAGAGTCCTCAGGAGGAGGGAAGTGGGGAGTGGGGTATGGGGAAAGGGAGAGGGCTGGAGGGGGAATAAGTGTATATAGAGCTCGGTGGGAGACACTGGGGACTGGGCAGGGAGGGAACAGAGAGTCCCTTCTGCAAGTACATGCCTGTGT